ACTATTCGATTACTTAACCTGTTGCCAACGCACACCTTCGTAGTTTCGACATCCCTACATATATTTCTTTTTACCGTTTTGGCATAATGATTTAAAAGTAAGATAACAATGACAAAAAAATGGGGTAATCTTGTGTGCTAAACCACTAAGAGATCACTGGTTCATTTCCGACTTTGATCTTTATGTGTTCCGCTGGACTGGAGGGCTAAAATGCAAGGTATTTTCTAGGGCAAAGTTTCGGAAAAGATAAATGTCAGAGCATGAAAACTCCAGGTGTGCAGGCGAATTAAAGACGACCACTTTTACGTGGTCTCATATCCTTATTTCCTTCACATCCAACAGCAAGTACACTCGCCACTTAGAGGATGAAACGACACTTTATAAACCAAGTCTCTTATCGAAGCCTGGGAGCGGAGTCGTGAGGGAAAAGACCTGTTGTGACAGGAATTGAACCCAGGAATATTAAAACCTTTAACCAGGACGACACAACTATTTGCAGAAATATTTTTCATTTGCGATTATTGAAAAAATATTATTCTAATGAACAATCCTTTCAGGGGCGGATCCAGAAATGTCCAAAAGGGGGGAGCCGGAAAGGGGGGGCGAAAAAGGGGCCGATCGAGATAATATTACCATAGGGGGTCCGGGGGCATGCCACCGCGAAATGTTTTTGTTCTAGGCGCCCGAAAATAACCTCTTAGACGTTTTGGGCGATCAATTTTTTTTCTTTCTTTTTTTTTTTCTTTTTTACCTTCCTTTAATTATAACACACTCCATCGTTTTACCAATGCTTTTTATCTGAAATGGTTATGTACATTTTTAATTGACGACTTCGTATCTGTGCAAATTATTTTAGTAATTACATTGCTTTTGAAATTAAGTTAATATACAATTTTTATCTTCCTTTTTAATGAAAGATTTGCTTTTGAAATTAAGTTAATATACAATTTTTATCTTCCTTCGTATCTTAATTATTGTATGTTTGGTGTTTTCGAATGAATAAAATCAATGAATGAATGATATATTGTACCTGATTATGCTTGATGGATGATGATAATTAAATCTAAATGTGAATCATCTTATTTAAATTACCTCTGACGAATACTGAAGCGACAAGGGCATTCAAACAAATTCGATTTAAATACTTACTTGGGTTCTCCATGGGCTAATACAATTCAATATGGAAGAATAAAATGTGTTTATGACTACCAAATATTATTATTATTATTACCGTTTGTTTGATTAAAGGGCATTGCCTCCCAATATTATCAATATATCTAGGCATATTCACCCCGTCATCTGGCTTGACTGGTATTTAATTAAACCAACTGAAAACATAATTTTGTTCAGATATATAAGAAATGACGACTGCACTTTAAAGGCTAACTTGTATACAATTTATTCTCTGGCTTTCGTCCACACAGGAGAGTGTACTAATGGAATAAGAAAGATTTACATAATGGTAATGCAAAACCATTTTGTAACAGAGTCGTCTGAACATGATCTAAATGTCTTACATTTTACCATGACTTGGACTATAGAGACAGAATATTTAATAATACAAGATATATAATGAGCCATTAAATTATCGAGCGTGAAATTGGGTTGATGGCGTAGGCCACTGTAAAGTTAGTAGAGTTAGTATTGAGAACCAAGGCTGTCGAAAAAACGAAGGTGAAACACGCTAACAAGTTTCATAGTTAGTACTGTGAACCGCACAATATGGAGGTACAAGTAGAGTTAGTGTTCAAATAAATTTTGTTTATAAAGTTGGTAGAATGATAGAATTTGTTGCTAGTCTGAAAAAAAGTTCTTTTTGTGAAAACAATTGATACCGATCGATATATTGAAATAAATCAAAATCGTTATTTGTCTGGTCAATATATTGCTCAATTCATTCAATTTTAATTGAGACTACTGGCAGTTTCATGTGCTACACACAATCATCAGGTCTGGATGAACAATGAGTTATGCTGCATATGGCTAACGTCATGGTTACGCTGCAGACCTCGATTTATGATGATATGATCGTCGCGCAAATCGAGAGATCGCTATTGGCTGACCTGACGCTGATTTTAATTTGATCGTACATTTCAAGGACTTTAAGGCCTAGTTCAGGCTAGGTGGATAAACCCGGCTCAACTTACCGGGTTTATCCTCCATGGTTTATCCACCTGCCAGTCTGAACTAGGTGGCTTATCTCAAGCCGGGCTGTGTTTCTATAGTAACTAGGCCTGGCGCGCCACCGTGTTTAACTTTTCTAAGCCGGGCTTTAATCGTTACGGGGGTCTTGCATTGACTTCGGGTGACGAAATGACCAATCAGAATTCAATTACGTACGCTGTGAGCGAGCGAACGTACGTTTCGCGAGCAATGTTTTGAAACACGTTTCCTGGTTACGGTTTATTATTATGCAAATTCTCGCCTGGCTAAACCCGCTAGTCTGAACGCCCGGCAAAGTTAAGCCGGGCTTTTAACGTTGAGCCGGGCTTAACTCAAGCCTGGCCGTATCCTAAAGCTCTTTCCACACTGTACTATCTGATTTTATGTGTGTGATTTTTTTGTGTGTATTCGACTGATCGTTCTTCGTTAAAATCCTACTTAACGAAGACGACAGTAGAATAGAAAACTTGTAAATACTCGACAAAACAAAATGGCTGCATAGTTACCGCGATACACGCTGTGTAATTAAGATTGCTTCAGCTTGTGGCAGCATGGGTTTTTGTAAAAAATAAAAAAATAAAAATATTTTCATCCAGTTTTTGAATTCTGTTATCCTACAATTATTTTTTGACTTCATGTGGGTAAATATTATAATTTCTATTTTTTGAAATTTAATCTAAGTTCTATTAACACAAATGTTGTTCTAAACTCACCAATTGACCATTTGTTTGTTTTAGTCGTATGTGAAAAACTTCAACGCTGGTTTACGTTAATTTTCATTATCAACGAAGTTTATTTTACGAACCAGTCGAATGATATAATACTCAACGAAAATTCGTAGTCAACGAAACGAACCAGTCGAATACGCCCAATGTGTGTGTGGCATGATGTCTATTAGTCTCAAAATCATCAAATTGTCTATTCTAATAGGCCCTATGTATAGGCCTATTATGTAGTCGGTGTTAACTGGACTTATTATATTTCCTTCACATCCAACAGCAAGTCCGCCACTTACAGGATGGAACGACGCTTTATAAACCGAGCCTAGGGAGCGGAGTTGTTTTTGATGAGAGAAAAAGTCCTGCTTCGACAGGAATAATTGAACACAGGATCCTGGGATTGGAAGGCAAGCATCTTAACCACTAAAACTATTCAACCACTGAAGCTATTCAACTCTACTTGTCAGTATAATAAACTAGACTTTACCCTGGGGGAAAAAGTCTAAAAGACTAGACAATGCTGACTGCGGCCCTGAGTCTGTACAGAACTGTACGGTAAATATTTGTTTTAATCGTTTGTTGTTGTTATTGTGAATTTTTAACGCTGGATTGTAGCTACCACAAGTCCAGTGGAGGGGGAAGCGATTTCCAATTTCAAAATATTAAAGAATATTAAATCTATTGTTATGTTATTGTATTTTGCCAATGCCTGTATTTGGTCGTTCCTACTAGTTTAGGGCTGATCAATTATACATTAGGCCATCCAAACTCAAGAGTAATTATTATGACTTGTGCAAGAGTTTAGTATTATTTTGATTATCATCTTGTTTAAAGGTAATGCAGAAGAATATAGAAAACGTAATATATTTCCTCTGTTGAATTGTCAGTATTGTTGTTTTTCTTATTCTAACTTTTAATTGAGAGCCAAGAACTAACGTAAATATTTAGCAAAAATCTTCTTGATTATTCCAAATTATTTTTAGAGTTGATCTGTCGGGCCAAAGATAATTTCAGCCGAGTTAAAAGCAATCGTTATACATCTGGGTTAAACTGTTTCCTATAAGATGGGATCTATTTTTTTTCCGCAATTTGATTTCACAATCATTGTGTTTCGACAGTAGCCTTCTTGTCAAGTCATATATGACTTGAAAAGAAGGCTACTGACGAAACACAATGATCAGAACAAAACACAAAGACAGAACTTGGCAGCATATATAGTCCTGTATTTCATTTCGTTTCATTTATTTATTCAGTGTCTTTGTGTCTTTTTTTGATTGTCAGGACAATCAAAACGTATTTTTAAAAGCACTTTCTTTGGTTCACTAGCTGTCTATTATCATGTAAAATAAGTAGGCTTACGGCGATAAAACCCAATAAACGTTTTACCCCTGTGATTTATAACAATGGGCTTCTCCACTACATGGGTCAGGGTCACAATCAGGTATCAGGACTCTGCAATTCTTAAAATCTTAAAAACCGAAAGGTCCACTGATTAATCTCAGATAAGAAAGTATAATACATACTCCAAGTATTGAAATACACGCCATCGTGTTGGGATTCAATATTTCGACATTAATTATGTCATCATCAGGAAGACTTTTGGCGCTATTTATTCTATGGCCTATATCATCTTGCTTATTTTCAAACCACTCCGTGCACATTACCTATGGGTTGCATTTTTGTATTCTGTATTCATCGAAATTATACTGTTTTAATTTTTTTTATTATTATTATTTAGTTTTTCCTCAAGGTCCAAATTAAATTAACCCTCGGGCCGCCTATGTATTAAGAACTAGGAATATACAGAACAACACAGGCCTAAATAACAGAAAAACACAGGCCAATTCATTAATGGGATGTTTCAATGATAATCGAAATTGGTTTAATTCCGTTAAAATTAATTTTGACAATGAAAAAAAGCAGTATTGAATCACAACAACATTTCTTTTTGTTGTAATTCTTTGTTTCTTATTACTGTATAATTACAGGTCTTGACTTAGAATTTGGTTATGAAACTAACTCTAAGTATTGTACCTCCATGCGGACTTGTTATAAAACACACACAATTCGATACAAAACCAAAGGTAACCTAGAGGGTTAAACCTGTAAACACATTACGTTTTATTGAGAACTTTATTTTTGGGTATTAGAACGACACGACGCTTTTTGAAGACACGCACTCTTCGTACAAGTATCGGAGAAGCTTTTTGGATTTTCTTAGGCTCTGCTTTTTCCTCTGGTTGTGGGCGCCCATTAGAACCAGGGGCACACGTGGTAGAACTGCAATTGTAAAGATATGTTATGACGAGCAAGGAACTTAGGTTGACTAACTTGAAAGAATAAAGTGAAAATATACAGTAAAATTAGGCATATGGACTTCTGATATGGCCTTCGTAAGCCATTTTCTCGTTAGTAGGGCCTACATTAACAACATCAAAGCAATACAAACAATATTGTTATTGTGAAAGCACAAATATGTCAGGCTACCACACCAAAAACAGTTCACATTATGTCAGTCAACACGGTACAACATGCGCGTTTTATGCTTAAACACATAAATTAGGCCCATTTTGTACAAATACTGTAATGTCATCCAATTTCGAATAGTTTTATTGATATTGAGAAGGCTTTGCAAAAAACAAAATAATTATGTTAACTTAAAATGAACCAATGCAAATCGGATCAAAACTTCACATTTAAGTGAACATGCCTGATTACAATAATCAATAACTTAATCAATAGTTCAATAATACATTGATACTTTGGCCAATTATACAAAGTCTCTAAGTTATATTTTGACTAATTGCATTACAAGAAATATGCAACATCTTATTTCTGTTAAACAAACTGAATCCCTAAAACAAAATGGGAGACCTTTCCAAAAGTTAGGCACACTGTTGGTGAGATAATATTGAAATGATAACTAAAGTAGGCCCTAAGTCAGAATCAATTTTGAAATGAAATATCAGTTTAACTAGACTTAATACTTCTATCTCTATAAATTATGAATTAATGTTTATGATATTAAGTTTATTTTTAAGTTAATTTTCATAACTACTTTGTGCATATCATGATACATAAAACATTTGTTATATATAAAACTAATGTTTTGCGGATTTTAACTTCAGAACCCATAAAAGCAATTAAGTGTTCCATTCACAAAGCTACCATCAAGCCAACATTTCAGGTCCAATATGCGAAGTATCTGAATATGCTATAAACCAATTCGAATTACTTAACCATATATGTGGTTAGTTACTGTACCAGTGCTGTTTTGGGATTCTATTAGTCTATATCACTAACACAATTACTGTTACATTATTATGTGATGACGGGCTACGTATAGCATGAATATTGCAATAGCCTATAAACCCACTCAAAAAATGAAAATAGCAAGGTGATATTTGAGTACTCACCTCTTTTTTCGTATTACCCTATGATTTCCTCTATAAATTGCAATGATGAAGATTAACGTAAGTACGGAACATAACCATTTCGTTCGCCGATGCCTCCGCATGTTGATTGAGTTATAATCCTATCAATTTAAACTTGTGTTAGCACCAAATACACGCCACATTTAACACTCACACATCTGAAAAAATGCAAAAAAGAAAATTATAATAGTAACAACAGAAACACCAATATCAGTAATCACCAACAAAATCAACTATCATTAGAACATGAATTTGAGCTCAACTGGATAATTTTTAAAATTTGACCGTTAAACTTTATTATCTATGCTCCTCTATCCATTGACATACTCAATATTTCGACATTAATTATGTCATCATCATGAATGATGATGACATAATGTCATCCTGATGATGACATAATTAATGTTGAAATATTGAATCCCAACACGATGGCGTGCATTTCAATACTTGGAGTATGTATTGTTCTTTCTATCCATTGACTTAGCTCAAAAGACTAGATTATGCTATGTTATTTGTGACAGAAGAGACTTTAATTTTGGGATTTTTAACCCTATTTGACATTTGACCCCAAGCGACGAACATCCAATGTTTGGGAGGTGACACTGTTATATAAGATTTGGGTTTAATGACCCCTGTGTAATCTTTGGCCCCAAGTGGTGAACACCCTGTGTATGAAAGTTGTCATCGGTTATACTCAGTAAGAAAACACAACCCAGTTTGCCTGCAGCTAGCTGAGGTAATGACAGCAGCAACACCAACAACAGAAACAACAATAACGACAGAACAACAGCAGCACCAACAACAGAAATAACAACAATAGCAACTCCACTCGCTAAGCCTCATAAAGAGACAATTCGCTGACAAAAGCAGGGGCGGATCCAGTAATGGGGTGGGGCACGAGCCGCACGTGCCCGCACCCCCTATATCCGTTTTGCCATCAAATTATAAAAAGTGCAATGCAAGCCAATATTATATTCTACTCACTTATCTATTCTGAAACTGATGTGGCCCCTACTCCCCACTTCTGGATTCGCCCCTGAAAATTATCACATGAGGCCTATCTCATAATATAAGAAGGCACCTGAATATCAGCCGACCTGTTTATACGAATGGTCACACTCTATAATGGTTAAAAGCAAGCAACAACAAAACAATAAAATGGAAGACAGTAACAGCAAGTGGCGAGACCGAATCTGTATTTTCTGTTTTAATTTCAGCTCTAACATTGAGTTTCGATACGACAATTAGGTCTACACAAGACTTGTTATTTGTGAGAAAAAATATGGCAGCACCAACAACAGAAGCAGCAGCAACACAAAGAACAAGAAGCAACAAAAAAAAACAAAAAAAAAACAAAAACAATAATAACAGTACCAAAAACAGAAGCAACAACATAAATAACAACAAAAACAACCAGAAGAACTGAATGAATTAGTAGGGGCCTACATAGGTCTAGGCATAGGCAAGCACGTTCTAATATATATACTAGGCCTACAAAGCTACAAAATGAAGTTACCAGCCTATATTGTAATTAATACCAATACAGACAGATTGATCGGCCTTACACAATTCAATCTTTAAATATCGACGCACGATTATGTACGTGTGTATGAAAGTTATTAATAAAGCTGTTTACAAGAACGGATATTGTCCGGTCCATGGTCCGATCAACCAGTGTTAAGTTGTTCCAAACTAGACCCGATGCTATTTTGAAAACGAATTTGATTTTCTATTCCAGCTTTAAAAATACACTAGATTACATTACCTGAATCTACTTCACATCTAGACGACAGAAACACATACATCGCACAAGTAAAAGAATAATATCCCCTGCCTATCGATAGTATTTTGCGAAGAGTAAGCAGGTTCAAGACCAGTGCTGGTTCATCCAATTAAATTGTTCACGTACAACCGCGTTTAGCAACGTCACAATAAATATCAACAAACAGGCATCTATATATTCACTTTCGATTTAATACTATCCAACAATACAGATTGATCACAATAATCAGCATTTTGTACGCACTAGAGGCCAACGCTTTCCCGCTTTTGCACTCTGCCACCAAGGCCTAAAAGTATATACTGCATGTCTCTTGCGGTTAACACTGTGTTGTGTGCGTAGTCAATGCCTGTACAAAGCCATAACGGATCTGCATGCATTGTGCAATGAAATGCTTGACCAATGCCAGACAAATTTGTAGCTGGCTAATCGATAATCTGCTAATAACAGAACGGTTCAAGATCAGGCACATATCTGTATTTTTTTTAATGGGATAAAAGGCCTGTGCGGCATAGATTTATCAAAAACGACCTTTATAAAACTTGGGGATTAGAACATTCCTGTTGATGACATAATTAATGTCGAAATATTGCTCCCGACACGATGGCGTGCCTTTCGATATTTGGAGTGTATTATACTATCTTTAGAACAACAATGTACCGTTCTTTTATGAGCAAACTTGTACATAGGCCTAGACTCTAAAACATTACACTCAAAGCTATTCGTACTAAGATTTATGCGACAGGCCTACTGTAAAATACGTTATACTATGGAGAAAATATATTAATAACAACATATTTCCTCCGTGTTTATACAGATATATACATACGCTTTTCCAGTGTTGTTCGGTTGACATTGTATAAACACCACTAAATTAAGTCAAAGAAATCTCGTCTCCTATTTTGTTAATTTGCATATGAATGGATATAACCTATGAAATGGCAATAGCATTCCGTTATTGTTCTTTTGAAGGAACAATCATTAAG